ATAAAGATATGTCTTCATTGTTTCCTTTGCTAGTCAATCTCAATTTTTAAAAAAGTTACTAATGTCTGATGAAGTATTAATCCTTTTGTTGATTGTCGTTTTTAACCTGCTAGTATTTTTGTTATTAAATTTAAACTATGCCTTTTTTAATTTACATATGAATGTATGCTATGCACTGAATATGTAAAATAAATGATCTACAGAGAGTAATCAAGGAGAACAAAATATAAATTGTAATTAATAAGATATATCATTGCATTGGTTTTTCCTCTGCTAATGGTAGATTTGTACCTACATTCTACACTTGACCTCATGAAAATTTACTCAGTTACTTGTTCAACAAGTATTTTTTAACTAACCACTAAGTATTCATATATACCCTGAAGGATGCCAGCAGATATACCAGACAATTTCTGCCTTCCAGAAACTCAAAGGCAAGTGGCATAAGACATAAGAGAAGTACTTGTAAGTATTTAAATAAGTGAAGCAAAAAATTGCTTCATTATCATACAGTGACTTTTTTCCACTCCCATTGTTATCAGCCTAAACCTGGCTTTATTTTATCTCTAACTTGCTGTGTTGTATTCCTACCTGATTTCTGCATTTCAACTCCCCCAGTCAGTCCTATCACTAAACACATTGAGTGTCTGTAGACAATGATAGCTCCAGTGATATTACTCCTGATAAAAACAAAATCCACACTAGGGGTCTTCAAAAGTTCAAGGAAAATGTGTTTTATGAGAAAACTCTGTAGATTAAAAAAAAAAAAATTGAAAGAGAGATTTTACCATAGGGTTCACCAGAAAGACAGAGAGAGACAGAGAGACAGAAAGTGAGAAATCACCCCCCACCGGGGGGAAGTTGTCCACACTACAATCCCTTCTCTATTCTTTTCTCGGGATCTTGGGCATGCACATGTGCCTGGTGTGCGTTCAACCCACTGGGTTTGGGACTCAAACCGCAGGCGACTACATGGGAGTCTAGTGACATAACCATTACACCGTCTGCTGGTCTAGATTTAAAAAATTTTATCAAAGTAAACATTCCATATCATACTTTAATTCCATTATTTTCTATGAACTTTTTGAAGTCCCTGCTTTTAAACGTCCCATCATCTTAAGGTCTTCCTGATTGTACTTTAAATATTACATGCTATTTCAGGTTGTCTTAACCTCTTCTCATATTCACAAACTACTATTTTCCACTGAAAACATTCTGCAATCCTGATTTATTTCCCTTTACACATGTTGCTTTCTCTTCAAGGAACCTTCACCTTTTCTCTTCAGAATTCTATCATCCAAAAGGTGGTCTTAATTACTATTTTCAAGCTAGCTTGTGGTATGGTTGGTAAGGCGGCTGGATCCCACATGGCCACTACATAGTTTGGGTCCTGCGTCCAGCAGCTTGAAAAACATGCCAGACATGTGCATGCAAGCCTAAAATCTTTAAAGGAGGGAGAAATGGGGGGAAGGAAAGGGGTGCTTTCTCTCTTTTCCTATTTCTGTCTCTCCTGTCAGCATATGTGCCCTGTGACAAATTAAAAAAATATACTGTTTTCACATGAGATAAAACTTATGCTTAAAATGTGTTTGTGTGTGTGTATGTGTGTGTGTGTGTGTGTGTGCGTGTGTGTGTGTCTGTAGCTATAGTCCCTTCTGTGGAGATTATCAGGAAAGGATTATATAGTAATTTATACTCTAGAATATACTTTGTTACTTGTCTCCTTTGTTACACACGTTTTTAACTAAAACTTGTATTTCACTAGTCTTTCTCTTCACCATAGAACTAAACATAAACTTTGAAAATAGAAAGCTCTCAGTAAATATTAAAATTGAAGTTATCAGGATCAAATGCTGTAGGAAACAAGTTAAACAATGAAAAGCAACACCCACAAAAAGCAGCAGCTCTGATTTTCATACAGTTTCAATAACTACCAGGTTTATCCCTTATCAAGAATGCTTAGGACAGGGAACCAGCAGTTAGCGTAATGCTATGTCGCTGGACTCCCACATAGTCGACCGTGGTTCGCCTCCCGGACCTGGTGGCTTAAAACTTGCGCTGGGCGCTTGTGCGTGCGTGCGTGCCCAAGATCCCAAGAGGAGAATGGAGGAGAAGGCATTGCGGCGTGACCATCCCCCCTGGGGGGTGATTTCTCGCTTTCTGTCTCTATGTTTCTCTCTGTCTGTCTGTCTGTCCGGTGAGCACATGTGCCCTATAGCGAAAACCTCTTAAAAAAAAAAAAAAGAATGCTTAGGACCAGAGAGTTTCAGATTTTGTGTTTTTCTGAATTTTGAAGTACTTCCATATACATATTGAAATATCTTGGGGCCTAAGTCTAAACACGAAACTCATATATGTTTCACTCATATTTTATACACATATCTTGAAGGTAATTCTATATAATATTTTTGTACTGTGGCATTGTGACTGTGACCTGTCCCATGAGGTCTGGTGGAATTTTCCACTTGTTATGTTGGTGCTCAAAAAGTTTTGGAATTTGGAGCATTTTCAGATTTTGTATTTTCAGACTGGAAATGCTTAATCTGTGTAAAATAGAACTGATGTGAGGAGAAAAAGAGAGGCTTGGCATTTATATCCAATGATAGTAAAGTAGGATTTAATGACTCTAAGCTATACCAACTACTGTTTTTCAAACTGATGACAGAAATGAGAAATCATCCCCCAAAAGGGATGGCCATGCTATAGTCCCTTCTCCATTCTACTCATGGGATTATGGACACCACACAGAGGTGCCCAGTGTGACTTTCAATTTGCAAGGTCCAGGACATGAACTGAGGTCAGCCATATGGGAGTTCAGTGTCCTAACCACAGTGCCAACTGCTGGCTCAATGTCTAGTCTTTTAAATCAAGTATTCATTTATCTCTTACATAAACTATTACATATCTATGTTTGCATAGTTAGGTCACCTTTGAAGGTTTCTATAGCACTTTAGTAAGTGAAAGCATATATAATATTTCTTTCTATTTTTTTCCTTTTCCCATCTTTTCTGGAAAACTATTTTCTGTATGAAATTGTTTAGGTTTCATTACCAAGTTGTCAGCAAAACAACCATAAGCAATATCCTGAACAGTGTGTGGCTCAATGTTTCAGTTAAAGTACATTGTCATTCTATTAGATAATTTAATAACAAATTCTATTTTCTGTTTATATATTCAGAATACTGACAAGAGAACGTCTACAGGTATGGTAGGCACAATGAAGGCACCCCAAAATATGACCACATCTTAATTCGTCGACTCTGTGAAAACATTACTTACATGGCAAAAGAGATTTTGCAAATATGATTTAAGATTATGGACCTTGAGATAGGGAGCTTTCCTACATTGCCCACATGGGCCCAAAGTAAGCCAAGGAGTGCCTGTGGCTTCTAGAAGCAGGGAAAGGCAAGAAAATGGATGTCCCCTAAAACCTTCAGAAAGGAACGTAGTTTTTGATTTTATCTAGTTCTGTAAGGCTCATATTGGACTTCAAACCTAACAGTAAAATACTTGTGTTATTTTGAAATGATAAAATTTGAGGTAATTTTTATAGTAGGAATAGGAAATTAATACACCAGGCATATGGGAGAAAAAAAGTTGAATAATTTATTAATATTTATCCAAAAGAGTATGTATTTTAGTAGTCAAAAATCAGTTTGCAGAAGAAATTTCTACATTTTTCTAAGAACCTGTTTGCAATACAAACTCATATGAATGTCAAAAGAAAATACACTGTCAATCTTCTAGAAAATTATACTAATATTTAGACTTCGTTGCAGATTACTTACCCTTGAACCTGGATATATGAATAGAATATGCCTCAAAAACCTGCTTGTAGACATGTGTTTATTGCATTTCTAATACTTAGAGCATGTCAAAAACATTTCTAGTATCTAGAGCATGTCAAAAACATAGTCAGTAAATAGTGTTGGATGAATAAGAGAAGTAATAGCATATGATTGAGAATCAAGAGAAATAGCCTAACAATTGCTGTCTGCATTTGTAAAATTTTCGGAGGTGTCATATTTTTAAAAACAGTAATAAATCACTGCTCACTATATTTTCCCTGTATAAATGTAAGTAATAAAATGAAAATTAATGTGAAATCAATAGAGCCCCAATGTATCTTCGAAATATGATCCACTTTCAAAATTCCTCCTTTCCCTAGTAGATATTACAGGGGAGACCATGAAAAGAAACAAAAACTTCACCAAATGAAAATATTGTGATGATGCAATGAAATATCAAAATTGACAGTATAAATTTTTAAGGTCACTTTCTTACACAATTTATACTGACAATATAAACATCCCAAATATTGATGGCAATTAGTAAAACATTGATAAAAAGAAAATACAAAAGGAGCTATTTGAATATAAAAATATTCTTATTTATTTAATAATTCCTTATTTCTGTTCAAAATGTCAACATTTTAAGATTATAAATTTTAGTAAAACTTAAACAAATGATGGTAAATACATAAAAACAATCTGATGATAAAAAGTATTTTTTAATGCAAAGGAGAGCTTTAATGTTCATAGTCCCTCTTGGTCATTCAGCATTTCATATATTGTAATTGTGCATATTCCATAAAACTTTCTGAAGTAATGTGCTGTTTTAGACCAAACAAAGGACTTTTCCAAATAGAATCACAGTACATTTAAGGTTTGATCTGAATAACAAAATCACCGTAAGTAATGAAATATTACTATGTGGAAATTGGGTGCTGGGGTAGGTTTCAGATAAATATTTTATAAGAGAAAAGGTTTAATATTTTTGGTAACTTGTAAGAGTTTTTTTTTTTTAAACAATCACTAGTGTTATTTATATGGTGTTAGGATATGATGGTTAGTATGTAATCAAACCTACCTTTACAGGTTCTTAAGATATAAATTCCATAACTCTGTAGAATTTGTTCCAATGATTTGGGCAATAATCACTCTTACATATCACTGCAGATCAAATGAAAATGACAATATATTGATGGTATTATTACTTACTGTGGTAGCACAATGAATATCTTTCCATACTGTGGCTTCTCTGGAGAGATCAGAGACTTCAAACAAATTATCAAGAATCACTTCCCCAATCATGTCATGTCTAGAAAATCTGTCAAAATCATATACACTGAAATGTAGTTTTCGGTTGCTTAGTTGATCATATGCTACTGGAAATTGAAAAGTTTCATCAAATAGAGGATTTAAAGTCTTTCTGTGCACACGGGTCTGAAATTTCTTTTTCCTATCAGGAAGAAGATACATCTTCACATAAGGGTCAGAAGTTCCAGTGAAGTCTTTAGCAGGGAGATCTAAGGCTTTGATAATTTTAACAACTAGAAGTTCATTTTCATAATCATACTGGAGGGTAAAGTTAAGTTTCCCACAGGTCTTGACATCTTCTTTCCTGTTACCCTCTGAGTCAACTGATTTCTGTTTGTAGAGCTCGGGTTTTATCCTTCCAATGCTGGTGGTTGTTTCTCCTCTTTGTAAAACAGGTTCTGTGCCCATGCTAAAATCAACACTGGAGACTTGCATCTGCCTTGGTAGGTGCCTCCTGAAGGAATTGTGGCTGTACACACACACACACACATATACAATATACACACACACAAAATCGTATAGGTAGATCATTTGGATGACAATGTCAAATAATGGCATTTAAACTCTCCCCACACCCAGGATAGTAAAAAGATATCTATATCTACACAGATGAATTGATATACACGTAATCAAAGAGCTACTTTTGAAAAAACAGAAACACAATATTCAAAGAAAAAGTCCCCTGAAATTATAGAAACACCTGAAACACCCAAGTATGCACTTCAGTGAACTTTTTGGACTCTCATATTCTCCATTTTAAACATATAGTTAAATACAGTTACAGAGAAAAATGATTACCAACAAAGTTCAATATTCTATTAAAAATAGTGAATGTTACCTGTCATCTAGGCAGGTCTAGATGGAAGTATTAAACACACAAAATCATTCAGATGGCTGCTTCCTTTTCACCTGGATCTTTGAGTCTCATGAATTTCATGTTTTAGTTATTAGAGTATTAAGATAAAAAACATATTATATGTCTTATATTCTTATAATTGTTTACTATTTCTAATACCTAGGATAATTAAATGAATACTTAAAAATATAGATGTGATAACCAGAGTGACTAGATTTTCCTTTTTCAACATAGAGTGAACTTGTGAAGCTCTATGGATTAAAAAGTTAGAATTTTAAGAATAGTAAATATATCAGCTTACTAATGTCTTCTAAATGTGCTTGTTTTAAGATCTGCTTCTCTTATATTTCCTCTATGATTGCTGGCATGAGTGAAGTTAACCTATATGTCTCCTCAAGACATAGTCCTAGGTCTCTTATTGGTTATTGTACTATAGTTATTGTCTTGAATATGTTGATTCTCAGATATGCCTTGACTATATAAACTTCTAGTTACCTCTAAATCTTCAAGGAAGACTTCTAACTGGATATCCTAATTTCACCCTAAATTCGAGCAAACTCATCATTGTTGCCTTTACTCTTAATCTGATTTTCTCTTCTCCAATCTCTGAGAAATGGTGATATTTTTAAAGCCGCTCATGATGGGAAACCTGTAGTACCTTTGAATCACTGTCCCTTTATCCATGAGATTTACTCAGGATTCTAAATCCTATTCTGATATATTTACCCATTCAGTTCCATTTCCACTGCTTCTCAGTCCAGGTCCATATTGCTGTATTCTTTGCTTTCTCTCATCACCTTCAGCTGACTTTCCTTTTGGCTCTGTCTTAATGCTTAATATCGTTCAGTACACTGTTGGCTCACTCACTCCTTCACTCACTTCCATTGTCTATTGTATCAGGTCTTTTAGACCTTTTAAAGCATTAAATAATAATGAGGACATTGCCTAATTAACACTTGATTAATTGATGGGCACATGAAGATTGATTTCTCATGAGAAATAGCAAATCAGTGAATATTCAGAAGTGAACTACCTAGGCATACCGTTGAGAAGTAGCTACAGGCACAGAGGATGCTGAACCTAGAAGGGAGAGGTAAAAAAAAAGGGCAAGGGCAAAGGGGATGAGTGCTAGATGTCTTCTAATTGTCTAAATGGTTGTCATGAAAAGAGTAAGATAGGGGCCAGCAGGTGGTAATGGTTAAGGCACTGGACTCTCATATGACCGACTGTGGTTTGAGTCCCAAATTGGGTGGCCTAAGACTCATGCTTAGGACTAGCAGATGGTGTCATGGTTATGTCACTGGACTCTCATGTAGTCAACTGTGGTTTGAGTACTGGTCCCAGTGGCTTAAAACTCATACCAGGTGCATGTGTGTGCATGCCCAAAATCCTGAGAGGAGAATGGAGCTGCTGGGTTGTAATTTCTCCCATTCTGTCTCTCTGATGAGCTCATATGCCCTATAGCAAACATCTTTCTCTCTCTCAAAAAAATCAAAAACGAAAACAAAAAACAAAAAACAAACAAACTCATACTAGGTGCGTGTGCATATGTGTCCAAAATCCCAGGAGGAAAATGGAGAAGGGATTGTAGTGTGACCGCCCCTTCGGAGGATGATTTCTCACTTTGCCTCTCACTGTGTCTCTCCAGTAAGTGCATGAGCCCTATGGTGAAAATGTTAAAAAAAATAAAAATAAAAGAATAAGAAAGACTTCGGCTTAATGTAAGGGAATATGAAATATTCAGAGCCATCCCACATTATGAAATAATTAAGATTTCCAAACTAGAAGTGTAAAACAAAGGTTAGGTGTTGAAGGAAAAGATTTCTGCCTTCAATGAGATGAAGTGTTTTCTAACCCTAAATCAATAGTTTTCAGTCATTATTACGGTTCTGTAGTACTTCTGTGATTCTGTAGTACTTCTGTAATATTTCTAAATTTTCAACATGTCATTATTATGTATATTAATAAAAAGGGATTTTTAAAAGTAGAATTATAATCTAAGTTGCTGCCAGTTTATTTTATTACTCTCAATTAGTTTTTATTTTTTTATTCTATGCCTGGACCAAAATATTGAACAATTTTTTCCTTTTTTTTTTTTAAAGAGAGATTTTTGCTATAGGGTGTGTGTGGTCACCAGAGAAACAGAGAGACCGAAAGCGAGAAATCATCCCCAAGGGGATGGTCTTGCTGCAATTCCCTCTCATCCATTCTCTTCTCAGGATTTTGGGCATGCACACACACTCATCTGGCATGAGTTTTAAGTCACCAGGTCCAGCATTTGAATCACAGTCAACTATGTGGAAATCCTACAATGTAACTATTATGTCATCTGCTGGTCCTGAATAATTTTTCAAATACCATAAAAGACGCTTTATGCAAATAAGGAGGACAAGCCTAGTACCTATTGGAGGTATTAGGATGTGATTATATATGAGAGTTGTTAACTGCATTATTCAAAGACTATTAAAAAATTTAAAGGAAATACATTGCAAACTAAGACAAAGACTGAGACTGGCAAATTGGTGGGATATTGCCACAAGGTGAAAATACACTGCAGTATTTTCAGGTGGTCTTTTCTACATTTTATTTATCCTCACCACTGGAGTAGAAGACTTTTGGTATGCTGTCATAGAGAATTATCTGGAAGAGAAGAGAAGGCTGTAGAATAAAAGGTATTCTATTATCATTAGCATCCAAGAATATTAAGAATTGAGGCTGGCCCCATAGCCTAGTGGTTAAGGGAGCCAAATCCCACATGACCAACCAGGTCCAAATCCTGTTCCTGGTGAATTTGGAAAAACATGCTGGATGCGTATGCATGCATTCACCAAATCCTGACAGGATGGAGAGATTGAGAAGGGATTGTGGAGTAACCACACCCCATTGGTGGTGGTGGTGGTGGTAGGGATTCTTTCTCCCTCTCTCTCTTCGGGGACCATACGAGCCCTTTGTCAATAAAACAAACATGAAAATAATTTAAATGAGTACAAATAATATCCAGTTACACTTTGGGATGAAATAAAAGGAAAATAATAAAACACGAGAAAAAAATGAAAGAAATATGCACTATAAATTTTTTCACAGTAATAAAGTATGGGACCTGCCTGTGGCATGGAGTTGAGGTTGCTGGATCCCACATATGGCCGACTGTGTAGTCAAGTTCTGGCCCAGTAATTTAAGACACATGCTGGGTATGTGTGTATGCATCCCCCAAATTCTGAAAGTGGGGGAGAGATGACAGGATTGCAGTATTATTTTTCACCATGGATGGTGTTTTTTTACTCTCTCTCTGTCTGTCTCACTAGTGAGCACACACACTCTCTGGCAAAATTAAAAAAAAAATTGTTAAAGTGTACTTTTCAGATTTTTTTAGTAAAGGCTAACATAAAGAATGCTTATGATGTGGCAGGTACAGGCATAAATTCTTTATCCTCATGTTACTCTATGAGGTACTTACTATTAAGTTCCCCATTTTACAGAGAGGGAAGTTACTTATTCAAAGTCATACAACTAAGTAGGTGCTCAAAATAAAATTTGACTGAGGGAGTCTGGGTCTAGTGGCCACACGCTTGTTAATTCTAGACTGTCAAATTCATGGTTTATCTCAGTTGATTAAATTATTTCCAAACATAATCACTTAACCAGGTTACCATGTAAAATTGAAAATTATTTATATAAGCTTTAATATGATTTTTTTCCACTTAAACATTATGTCATATATAATTATGTAATCCACTAAGATCCAAAATGTACTTAGTTGAAATAGCTTGAGATACATTTTCATAGATATTTTAAGCTTCTTTGATTAGTTACCAAGAATCAGAAGGGTGCAAGGATGTTTAATTTGTAAGAACAATTATGATCAGACTTTATGTACAAAGTTCTTACCTGGTTCATAGTTATGTTTTGCATTTTATAAAAAATGATATATACTTTGAAAATATTAAGTAGAGCAAAGTAAAAGTTATAAGAAAATTAGTGCCATATGACATATTTTAAAATGACTAGGTTAAAATTTGACTGTAATTGAAAAACTGTTTCTATCTATAGAAACATAGTGACTATTTAAACTGAATGAATTAACTCTTAATAAAAATTAAATTCCAGCCCCAATAGTTTGATTTTTTAATGTATATGAGTATGTAAGTAAAATTCTACTAACTTATTTCTTGAAGTGATCTATTTATTCGTTTTAATGTATTAGGCATGGCATGATATATATTTTGACTCTGAGTCTACCCAAGATAAAAAGGATCTGTTGCTTCCATTAGAGAAAGGTCAGAGAATTTATAAAAATAAGAGTTAAAAAAGAGAATACAGGGAACCAGCAGTTAGCGTAATGGCTATGGCGCTGGACTCCCACGTAGTCAACTGCGGTTCAAGTCCCAGACCCAGTGGCTTAAAACTCACGCCAGGCACATGTGCGTGCGTGCCCAAGATCCCGAGAGGAGAATGGAGGAGAAGGGATTGCGGTGTGACCATCCCCCCGGGGGGTGATTTCTTGCTTTCTGTCTCTATGTCTTTGTCTGTCTGGCGAGCACACGCGCCCTATAGCAAAAAAACCTCTCCAAAAAAAAAAAAAAAAAAGAGAATACAGATAAAAATATGTTGTG